GATTAAATAACAGAATGAATTCCTGCTTCATCCTTGAAACCCTTGGTGTGGTAGACTTTGGTGGGAAGACCATAACATCTTTTTCAAGTTCATCAGTATTGGTCTGATTGGTGTGTCTCACTTTTCTTGGATTCATTTTGGTGATTTGTTGTGTTAACAGTTATCTTCTGTCATGTTCAGATTATTTCGAAATTAGGTCACACAGTAGTGGTTAACATTTTGTAATCTCTGCACCTGTGGAGACAATTTTTGGACAGTTCTCATGCTGAGTCTATGTGTTCTTCGGCATAACTTTTTAGAGATTTGTCTGTTACGTTTGGTCTTTTAAAAGAATGGTTTAGGTTTTTGCTTTATCATTTCTACCAGTTTGTTTCTTTAAGATTCACTAATTTGTGTTTTTGTGTTATTAATCTTCACATTTTCCTTTTTAGCAGATTGCATTGACTAATGAGTTTGATTTCAGCCTTTCTGAATATTGTAAAGAATGAGTATTTCTTAAGTGGTCTGAAGCACTGCTATTGCTAGTGAAAGGAGCTCACTAATTATGATAACTCAGATCCTTTGTATCTTAATTTTTTTGTATTTTATTTAAAAATTATATTTTATTGTTTATGCCATACAGTTGTCCCAATTTTTCCCTTTATTGTCCTGCTCCCCACAGCACCCCCAACACCCTCAGGCAATCCCTACACTGTTGTCTATGTTCGTGGGTCATGCATGTGCATTCTTTGACCACTCTATTTTCTATGCTGTTTACATCCTCTTGATGATTGTGTAACTACCAATTGATACTTCTTAATTCTTTCACCTTTTTCACTCATCCCTTTAACCCCCCCTCCCATCTGACAACCATCAAAACATTCTCTGTATTTACGATTTCTGTTTCTGCTTCTTTATTTTTTAGATTCAGTTGTAGGTAGATATCTATGTATTGTTCATATTTTTGATTTTCATCTTCTTCTTAAAGAATGCCCTTGAGCATTTCATATAATGCTGGTTTGGTGGTGATATAGTCCTTTACCTTCTTCTTGTCTGGGAAACTCTTTGTCTGTCAATTCTAAATGATTTCTTTGCTGGGTAGAGCAGTCTTGGTTGGAGGTCCTTGCTTTTCATCACTTTGAATGAATATTTCTTGCCAACCCCTTCTAGCCTGCAAAGTTTCTTTTGAGAAATCAACTGACAGTCTTATGGGAAGTCCCTTGTAGGTAATTTACTGCTTTTCTCTTGTTGCTTTTAAGATTCTCTCTTTGTCTTTAACTTTTGACATTTAAATTATGGTATGTCTTAGGGTGGGTCTCTTTGGGTTCTTCTTGTCTGGGACTGTCTGCACATCCTGGATTTGAATGTTTGTTTCCTTTACCAAGTTAGGGAAGTTATTTGTTGTTATTTTTTTCAAGTAGGTTTCCAATTTCTAGCTCTCTCTCTTCTCCTTTTGGCACCACTATGATGTGAATGTTGTTATACTTGCAGTTGTCCCAGAGGCTCCTTACACTATTCTCATTTCTCTTGGGTTTTTTTGCTGTTCTGATTGGGTGTTTTTGTTCTCTTATGTTCCAAATTGCTGATTTGATTCTTGGCTTTATCCACTCTCCTGTTGATTCCCTCCCTGTAAATTGTTCTTTATTTCAATCAGTAAATCCTTCATTTCTGACTGGATCTTTTTTATGCTATTGAGGTCCTCACTAAGTTCCTTGAGTATACTTACAACTAGTGTTTTGATCTCTGCAACTGGTAGCTTGCTTGTCTCCATTTTGCTTAGTTCTTTTTCTGGAATTTTGTTCTGTTCTTTTATTTGGGCTGTGTTTCTTCCTCTCCTCATTTTGGCAGCCTGTGTTTGTTTCTGTGTATTAGGTAGAGCTGCTACATCTCCCAGGCTTGGTAATGTGGCCTAACATAGTAAGTGTCCTATAGGGTCCAGTGGCACAGCCTCCCATTAACCCAACCTGGGTATTTGAGGTACACCCACTGTGGAAGCTATGTACACCCTCCTTTTGTAGTTCAGCCTTGATTGCTGTTGGCACATCCAAGGTCAGCCACCGCCTGTGTTCTGTCCTGGGTCACGCAGCATAACTCATCTGCAGACGTCTTCTACTTGTGCGGGGCTTGGAGGTTCCCAGGAGAGCCCAAGCTGTGTACCAAGGCCACCTGCTGCTAATGCCAGGCCTGGGCTGACTTAGCAAGAAGTATGGGGTTTGCTAAAACCAGGTGCTGCTTTTTTGAGAGGATTTCAGAAAATCTGAAGCATGAACCAAGACAAGCCATTCATATGGAAAAGCCACTGTAAAAAGTTTGGGTGGGTCTGAAAGTTGGTTAAGAAAGGGCCTCAGGGAATTTCTAGTGTGGGGTAAACAATGTGAGCCAGGTTGGTGGAGTCTCAGATATGGTGCCTAAGTGCTACCTGTGGCTGTGTTGGGGGAGGGCTCAGAAAAGGAACAGTGTGCCTCTGCCAGCACTTTTATGTGGGAGGAAGCTGTGTTCCAGCTCTTGCCCTGATGCCAGACAATTCAGTTCCTTCCCGTATGTCTGAGGCCTTTCTGTCTGCTGCCTCAGTGCTCGAGCTCAAAGGCAGTCTGAGAAAGTCTGTGCTCAGGCCCTTTAGGAGGAAACTGTCTAGAATTCCAGCATTTCTGCCTTCCACAGCTTCAATCTTTACAGGTTTTTACAGACAGAAGTTATGAGGATTTACCTTCCTGGCACTGGAACCCTGGGCTGAAGGGCCTGGTGTGTGGCTGGGACCCCTTGCTGCCGAGATATCCCTTCTGATTTTTATCTACCACATGTAGGTGTGGTACCAGCCCGTTCTATATCTCTGCCCTTTTTACCATTCTCAATGTGATTTCTTCTTTAATTTCACAGTTGTAGGATTTCTGTTCAGCCCAATTTGTGATGGTTCTGAATGATGGTTGTTCTCTACTTTAGTTGTAATTTTGATGTGGTTTTGCTAGGAGACAAGCCCTGTTTGTGTATGCTGCCATCTTGACTTGAAGTTGTATCTTAATTTTTTAATTTTTGTTTTCTTTAATGTTTTCTGTCTTCTGATCTATGAAACTCTGAAAGGCTGTGGGTAAGGTCCCTGAAGTTCTAAGGTTTTTTGCTTTCGGGCTTTGTTGTAGTGCTTTTTTTGGTAGGTAAAGGCTTATGGCTCTTCTTTCTTTAGGTTGTTTCCTTTAAAATATAAAATATCCCTCTTCTTTCTACTCATTTTTTTTTGTTTGATATCTATATTTTTTATCCTGCCCTATTTTTGTTTGCATTTTCATGGTATATCTTTGATAATTCCCATAATTTCAACTTACAGTGCCAGTCTAGTTTGGGTTACTTTTAAACACAAGACTAGGTTTTTGCTGTACTTACCCAGTGATAAGTCTGGCTGCTAGTAACCTGCTGTCACATGGAGACCCTGGCATGGTCAGTCTTTTTTCCCCTATAGTGGTTTGCTAGTTTTATAATCTATTTCTTGTGTTCTAGTTATGTGATAGAATAGAAACTATTGATCAGGAAGTGGGCATAAATGCTTTACAAATGTATTCAACCTATTTTTTTTTCTTGCAGTTGAGAATTAAACAATATCTATAACTTATGCCTCATTCTACCCTGGACAGGGTGGGATTTTTAGTACATTTTCATTTTTTCCTCACCCTAGGTTTTCTTAAACTAAACTGGAATTATAATAAAACTTAAAAATATATCCAGTTTTATATTTTAGATCATTTCTTAACAGTTTCATTAGTATTTAAAAGTGTTCTAATGTTAATTATTGTTTTAATAATTTAAGCACTGGTATGTATGTTACATGTAATTTTCCTTTTTTTTTTGTAGTAAATTAAAGGGCAGTGTTGCCTAATATTTAGTTAATACTATTAGAGTTCGTTGCCTTTCTGTGCCTCAATCCTGACAAGAACCACTTGTCAGTTCTATGACCTGATATATTATTTACTATCTCTAAGCCACAGTTTCCTCATCTGTAAAATGGGTATTAAAAAGGACCTCTGGCCTCTTTCAAAGTTGCCTTCACACTGTGTGCTGAGCTTTCCAGTCTGGAAGTTCTGTTGTCTGCGGGCAGCCCCGTGGCTGGCTGGGTGTAGCAACCTACACTATCCCATTCTTGCTGCTTTATTTTCTGACCTGGCCTGTCTGAAGGTGGAGTTTGTGTTCCTTTCAAGCATGGCTACTAGTTTGGATCAATACAGAATTCCAGAGTCACCGCTTTCCCCTAGAATGATGGAGATTTTCCTTTTTTTTTCCTGAAATTTTTAATATTGCATAAAAGGTGTTCAACACAGGTAGAATCTTCCCTCTGAAAGGAATCTTTTCTTTTTTGTTCTGATGAGAAACTACGGTATTTTCTCTTGTTTTTCTTTATTTTTGGAATTCAAACATGTAATAAATATCTGCCTAGATCTATGTCTTTTTTCAATGTTTCTACCTGATACTCTAGTATGTTTTGCTTTATAGACCCAGTCTGTCTTCAGAATTTTTTCTACCATTTTTTAAATGATTTATTTTATATCCTTTCTATGCTGTCCTCCTGGAGTTAATGTTATCAATCATTAGAGTGCCTGGATTTGTTTTTCTTGTCTCCTTGGCTTTCTCTCATTTTCTTGCTTTTGTTTTAAAATAAATCACTTTTTAAAAAAAATTATTTAATTATTGTTCAAGTTAAAATCACTTTTTATCTGCCTTGTTTTAAGTTTAACATAACACAAAATATGTTTTAGAAAAATAAAAATTGAGTGTTTGTATATTATAACTTTTGGGAGTCTTCTTTTGAGCTATCCCCCAATAGTGGATATGTAGTATTTACTTCTTACAGATCAGTGAAACGTGCAGTAACCTTCCATTGCTGATAATGTACAATTACAATTGTATGTACTGTGTTTGTACACATAGTTATTAAGTGCTTTAGATTACATCATGATTGGAAGATTGTCATTTTAAGAGCCATGCTTATTTAATTTATCTTATTTAAAACTGGCTTTACCATTTCATCATCAATTTAGGAGAAACTAATTCAAGATATTGTTCATTGTCATGGAATTTTAATCACTTCTTACTCCTACATCCGACTGATGCAAGATAATATTAGTAGGCATGACTGGCATTATGTGATCTTGGATGAAGGACACAAAATTCGAAATCCAAATGCTGCTATCACTCTTGCTTGCAAACAGGTATGAACTCTTACAACATGGGAGATTTCCAGCTGAATAATAGTATTTAATCGAGAATAAACTCCCTGATTTTAGTTAACACACTCATTTAATTTTTCCTTGTGTCTTTGCATAAGGAATTTGAAATATAAATTTTGCCTTAATACACAAACTTTTTTATTCTTGCTCTTAATTATGTTTTTAAAAAATTCTAATTGTTCACATTACTTAATGTCTTTTGTACGGATCAGTTACTAGAATATAACCTAAGCCATCTCAAGTCCATAGTATTCAGCATGAACAATAAGAAAAAATTCTTCCCTTATGTAATTGAAGAATTTAAATTGCATAAAATGTCTTCTGTGTTTTGGAGAAGACCAAAATGATATGTAATGTGTTAAATAATAAGATTGGGTGGGGGTGTTTGGGGTAGGGTTGGTGATTGATTATCTGTTAAAAGGTGAATTTAATAAAAAATATTTTCTTTCCCAAAATAGTTCCGCACCCCTCATCGCATCATCTTATCTGGCTCACCAATGCAAAATAACCTCCGTGAGCTGTGGTCACTCTTTGACTTTATCTTCCCAGGAAAGTTAGGCACATTACCTGTATTTATGGAACAGTTCTCGGTCCCCATCACCATGGGGGGATATTCAAATGCCTCCCCAGTACAGGTAACACTTTTAGTATTTTAATATATACTCTGTAGCCAAATTGTTCAGAATATAAGGGAAATGGCCAAGCTTATACATTGGTATCTGATAAAAATTACAAAATTATTTTTGCTTGAGAGCTCATATTTATTCTGATGAGTTTTTTAAAATTATGTAAAATACTCCAGAGCAGTCAGAAATTATGAAACAGGAGTGAATCAGTTCTGGACAACATATAATTTAGTGCAGATTGAGGTAGTACATTTTATAAAGTAGTATAAAGTTTTAGAAAAGGGGAAACCAGCGAGAATTGTTCAAGGAAGACTTAATGAATGAGACAGGTTCCCCTTACCTTGATTCTGGGAAAACAGGCTCAGAAGAACAAGGGCAATAGGTTAAGACAACAGCCACATTATATGGCCATAGGCAGTGAAGAGACACACTTGATTCGACTGGAGATGCTGTGAGGAAGTAGCAGGAAAGCTGTGGATTCTGGAAATGGGAGCCTTGAAAAGGAGGCAGAGGTTCTCAGGCAGGAACAGCCAGTGAGGTTGTCTGAACAGGACACTGGAAAGGGCAGTTCCTCAGAGGGGTACTCAGGCTGCAAGTAGTTATGGAAGGGAGGCTGTCATTGAGGGATCTGCAGGAGTCATTGAGGTGAGATGATGAGGACCTGGGTGGTAGTCCTGAGAAAGAAGGTATAGACCAAGGGCCCCAGATGGCAGTTTTTTAGGCAGAAAAAATAAGATGTGGAGGCTGGTAAGATAAAGGAAAAGGCATAGGTGGTGGTAAGCTTGCTGCAGCTGACCCCTAAGATTTTAGGCCTGGGTGACTGGTAGAATGGAGTTGTCACAGGTGGGAAGGAACACCAGGACATGAAGCTGACCTAAGGGCGGGCTTCACTTGGTGAGAGCCAGGGTTTCTGTGCAGCTCTCAGGTGGGGCCTGCACCAGCCAGCTCATGACTGAGCCACAGAGAAAGCCTTTCACCAAAGGAAACATTCTCATGTTTTGAAATACTTAATTAGAAAAAGAGTTTTGGACCTTTAAAATTAGAGTATTGTCAACACCAGTCTTAATACTTTTACATTTGAATGATTTTTAATTAACTTTTTTTTAATATTAAATTTTATTTAGTTACTTTTCAAGTACATTTTTTTTTAAATCTATTTCTCCCATCCCACCCGCGCCCCGCCCGGTCTCCCCCCTCTCTCCCATTCCCCCCCCCCCCCAGTCCTCATCTCTGTGTCTTTCATACTTGTTCCTCAAAATCCCTCCCCCTTTTTCCCCTTAAGTTCCCTTTTTTTTTTAATTAACTTTTAAAGAAAGGGCTCTTTTTCTCTGGTGAATCCCTATTATTCTTCATTTATAGTGTTCTTTTTTGAAACTCTTTATTTTGAAATAATTTCAAGTTTAACAGAAAGTTGTAAGAATCATAAAAAACTTTTATATATTCTCCACTTACATTCACCAGTTGTTAACAGTTTGCTCCTATTTTACTGCATTTGCTTCATCTTTCCTTCCCTCCCTCCCGCTCCCCACCTCTCAATACATGCACACAAATTTATGGTTTTTGTTGTTTTTTAACTGAATCATCTGAGAACAAGTTATAGAAGATGCCTTTTCCTCCAAATCCTTTAGTGTATATTTCTTGAGAACAAGGAAATTATCTTATAGAATCACAGCATAAACATTAGAATCAGGAGGAAATTTAACATTGGTATAATTTTGTTATCTAAAGTATATGTTGTTCACACTTTGCCAGTTCTTCTAGTAATATCTATGTCTCTTTAGTCTCCTTTAGTCTGGTACAGTTTCTCTAATTTTCCTTGTGCCTTTAGATCACCTTGACAGTTTTGAAGACTACAGGCCTGTTATCTTATAGAATGTGCCTCACTTTGGGTTTGTTTGTGATGAGATTCAGATTATGCTTTTTTGGCAAGAATATCACATAAGTGACATGTATTTCTCAGTGCTTTCTATCGGAAGGCACATGCTGTTGTTTATCCTTTTGTTGGTGGTATTAATTGGCAGTAATCTGATTGCTTGGATGAGTGGTATTTGCCAGATTTCTAAAGTCTTTGAAGTTACCACTTCTCCTTTGGGATTAATAAGTCATTTATGTGGAAGTACTTAGAAAACCATGTAATATTGTCGGTTTCTTCCTTGAAGTTCTTGTCTCAGAAGTTTGTGCACTTACCTGTTTTTTTTGTCTTGTTAGATTATAAGGTCCTTGGGAGCAGAGGTGTTGTTTTTATTTGCCCCTTTCTGTTTAAGTTCATGGCTGTCGTGCATTATTGAATCCAAAGAATATAGTCTGTCAGCAGGTATTTATTGTGTTAGTCTGGGGCTGAAATGATGGGAGGTGGCTAGCAACCAGATCCTCCCTTTAAATAATATTCCCAGTTTACCGTGGGTGTGCGGGGGGAAGTGGTAAACGTGATCAAGTGGTAATAAGGTCTGTGATCAGAGGAGACGGCCAATTAGCAGAGCTTGTGGGAGTCAAAAAAGGCTTCCTGGGGATGCAGTGACTGTACTAGGACCTAAAAGGTTGGGGAGGAAGATGGGGAAGCAAAGTAACTACTGACAATAGGTATTGGTTCTTAGATTTGTATGGTAGACTTGTGCAGAAGATTTTAGAACTGAGAAGTCATCTAGTTGAACCTTCTTTCACTCTCAAGGTTATGAGACTCAGCACTTAGCTCTGGAAGAAGCAAAGTTGGGGAGTAATTATCACTCTGCCTTGTCAGAAAGAGGAAGGAAGTGTGGACATGCTCAGCTAGGTATGCATTTTCCACAGTGCTGGGGAGTTGGGAGTAATAGAGAAATGCAGTTGGATCCCCCTCCCCATATGTTTGTTACTGACAGAGGACAAGACACCAGAGGCAGATGAGAATTAAATACAGAGTTGACTTTATTGCTTGAAGCACAGGATTCCCTGAGAGTTGAACTGGAAAATGAGGCTTGACATGAAGGCCAAAATAGGGTTTTTAGTCATTTCTGCTTTCCCTTCCCCACCCCAGTCTAGAGCTTAACATCATCCTGTAGGGAGTTTTGTATGAGAAATAGACCCAGACCTATACCCAGCTGCTCTGGGCTCTGACCCTTAAAGCTCATCACAGTGGCCCAGGAGCCAGGGAGCTCCCCAGAGGGGTGAACAGGTGGGAGAAAGAATAGAAGTGAGTGCCCAGGTCTCCCAGCATAACCAACTAGCTCACTAGTCCTTCTGGAGGAGACAGTTTAGTCTCAACCCACTGTATAGCTGTATAGCTTTTCAGGAAGAATTTAAATAAGTAAGTACTTGCTTCTTTGGTAGGACTATGTCTTCTTAAATTCTGAAATTTAATTATCTCTGCACTAACAACCCATAATATGTACCTGATCATCATCTTAAAGGTCATTCTAATCAATGTCTGAATGATATTGAGCTTCTTTATTATTGTCTGCTATTCTAAATAAAACCTATTATTTTTGTTTACACACTCAAACACATCAGGTAAACACATACATGAACATACATATATGCATACTTGAGGTATTCTTAGAGTTTTTTAAAATGTTTTTTTTTAGCATGTTAATTTTGTTACATGAATTTTTCTTTATTATGATCAGCCTCTCATTCGTTTTGCAGCTTTCTTAAATTTAAACTTTGGTTGGAATTTTTCTAGTTCCATTAAAATAATTTACTAGGTTGTTAAGCCTATTTAGGTTTTTTTTCGGATATCAATAACGTATTGAATTCTTTGCTTGCCTTTAAATGAATTGCAAAGAGAGTGGTTTTCTGCGCTGTGGGTCTTTCTTTTTCTACATACAGTTAATGCCCATCTTGTGTGGCTCTGCTCCATTATAGTACCATATGCTCCGTTGTAGACTAGAGTGACCTTTTATTTCTGGGATCATGGGGCTTTTCTTGAACTTACTCTCCAAAGTCTCCAGTGGGCAGTAATCTCTGCTGATTATCTGGTTGCTTCCATTGCAGCAGCTTCCCCCATAGTTGGCTTTTGATCTTCAGCTTGCAGGGTAGCAATTCCTCTCTAGCTTTTGGAGAATACAAGATTATAAATGGAGATTTGTTTGAAAGCAGTTTTTTCTCCAGAGGGTTTAACTATGCAGTAATAATTAAAGCAAAGTATAGTAGAGGAATAGGATACAAAATTATCAGTTGCTCTTTTCATTGTATATTGTGATTAATTTTTTTCACTGATATTATTATGAAAGCTCCCACCTCCTGGAGCATTATATTGGAGCAAAAACTTAACGTATACTAATTTTTCCAAACCACTTTCTAACCATTTCCAACCAATTTTGTATAATCATTGGTCATTTCTTTTAAAAATTTTTTTAAATTTATTTCTTCTTAGAGAGGGGAAGGAGGGAGAAAGAGAGGGAGAGAAACATCAATGTGTGGTTGTCTCTCACGTGTCCCTGACTGGGGACCGGGCCAGCAACCTAGGCATGTGCCCTGACTGGAAATCGAACCAGTGACCTTTTGGTTCACAGGCCAGTACTCAATGCACTGAGCCACACCAGGCAGGCTGGTCATTTCTTTTGAAAATGATCTGTGTAACCACTGAAATCAATTGAGAGGTAAGAACGAATGCATTTCTTAAACATGAAGTAATTGTTTTCCTTTTGTTTTACGAAAGGTTAAAACTGCTTACAAGTGTGCATGTGTCTTACGAGATACCATAAATCCATACCTCCTGCGGAGAATGAAGTCAGATGTCAAAATGAGTCTTTCTTTGCCCGATAAAAACGAACAGGTCTGTAAATCCAGGACTTACCAAAACATTCTTAAAACATGGGTGTGGTGCTAGGAGCTTTGGGGCCGGCTGATCTACATTTGCATATACCAGTATGTGATGTGACAGGAGAGACTGCTGTGGCATCTGCATATACCAGTTTGCGACAGGTGAATCTGCTGTAACCCTTGCTCTCAGCAAAACTCTTCCTCTAGTCCACAGGCTTAGACCTCTCATTAACACATGGATTCCCACAGCTGCTCTCTTTAAACTGTATTTCCTCAAGTCCCCAATTCATTCATGCTACAAATTGTATTAGTTGTCAACAACATGCCTGGGAGATAGAAGTAAAGAAAACACTTGTTCTTGTGAAACTCACATTCATTCTTGAGGCAAGACAGTCATAAATAAATATATCAGATGGAGGGTGGTAGTAAGTATGAAGAGGGAGATGAGGGCAAGGATATATGGAAACAGATTTTTATAAGAGGAAGTCAGAGAATACCTCTCTGATAAACTGTCAGTTGAGCAGAGGCCTAAAGAAGGTGAAAGAGGGAGTTACAGGGGATTTGGAGGTGCGTTGGTGGGGAGAGTAGGGGTGTGTTGGTACATTCACAGAGGCCAGAGTGTCTGGAGGGCAGGAGCAAAGAGAGGGCTGAAAGGAAGTTGTCAGATTTCTGGCCAGATCACCAGGGCTCACTGGTCAAGGTGAAGACTTTAGAGGAAGTTCACAGGAAGTTATTGAGCAAAGGAATGATATCATCTGATTTAGGTTTTAAAAGGATTATCCTGTTAAATTTCACCCTACTGTTCTGTCATCTTACTAGATGACTGCACTCTCTGTTCAGCATCTGAAAGAATGCATTGTACATTTTGAATGTTGAAACTCTAAAATGACCTGGGAGATCTGTCATCAAGGCTATTGATATCACTGCCTCTTCCCTCCCTGCCAAAACTCATTTCTAAATTTACCCCTTGTCTTAGCATTCCCCTTACAGTTCTCCTTTCTCTGCCACAGCGTTACTCAGGCCACCACCCTGTGAGCTGTCTTTAATTCGAGATCAACCAGTTGCTGTGGTGGTTTATTTGTTCTTTGTCATTCCCTCACATCTCTGCTTCACATCCTCATAAGTTAGTGCAGTTTAGTCTGACTGGTGCAGTTAGTGTGACCGTACTACATTGTTTGGCACTTCCCACTACATTCATTATTGCAGTTTCGCTAGATTTATTTTTCCAAGGCTTTCTACCAATGTACCTTTGATATCACTCTTCCCACCGAGAATATTGATTTAGCTTGTGACAGTTTATTTTTACTGTGGAATCATAGAATACCTCTTATACTCTGTGCAGTAACCAAGGCAAATCACTTCCTAATTTTTTTGTTCCACTTTTCCTTTTATTTGCAATTGTTCCCTCCATTTGAAGTTTTACACACCCCTCAAACAAACACACATGTAGAGAAGTTCATTTGAAGACCTCACAAGGCTCTGTACTAGAGTGTCTAGTTGACTGGAACTCCCTGAAGTCAGGATTTTGGCTCACTTACCTACAGATTTTGCATGACACCAAAAACAATAATTTGCACACACTATGTACCAGGTGAATAATTTGTTCAATTAACTTTGTTAATTAAGAGGTGAGGCTTTTCTGTTGCCAAATTTAAAGGACTGAAATGTGAATTTAAGAAGTTAGGAATTATAAGCACTCAGGTTCATATTTTAGGAAGATTACTCAGGTACCATTTGAAAGCATCAATAAGGAAAGAAAATGGATGCAAAGGAATGAATTAGAATCTAGAATGTCCTTAGAAGAGATGTGGACCTGAACTGAGGTAAGGGTGGGGCTAGCAGGAGGAAGCCGAAAGGCCTAGTGACTCGGGTTTCTCACTGGGATGCTGGGATGGATCTGCTGCAACGGAGGCTCCAGAAGGACAGACTCAGAGAAGACAGCTGAGGATTTTAATTTAGGTTACATTTGAAGTGTTCATGGAGTGTCTACTTACAAAAAGATAAAAGGACTTAAACTCTGAAGAAAGTTCAAGGCTGGGATATAGATGGCCTCTGAGCAGAGAATGTGTTAAAGTTAGAAGCAACAGTGAGTTTGCCCATGTAGAATGGGCAGTCCATGTAGAATGAGGAGCGATAAGCAGCCCAGGAGAGTGGCAGCATTAAGGAGAAAGTAGACCAGGAGTGAGCCAGGAACACAGGAGGCCTGTGTAGAAAGGCAAGAGGTGGGTTAGGGGAAGTGGAATCATGAAGCTAAGGGATCTGGTGTGTGGCAATTATTAGTGACCTCATCCATAACAGTTTTAGTGGTACCTGCAGAAGTACCTTCTGGGATTGTGCTGGTTCATGAGTGACAAGAAAGGAAATGGAGATGGTGATTGTACGTGATACTTTGAGGGAGTTTTCCTTTCAATTTTCGGAGAGTCTAAGGGGTAGAACTCTGTCCTAAGGAAGATGAGAAAGTTTTCAGGTCTGATGGAAAGGTTGAAGGTTCCCTTTTGATCTCACTCAGGAACCAGTTCCTCTGGAAATAAAGGAAAATAAGCTGAGGCAGATGAAGAAGTATATACATTTTAGGGGGTGAAAACTAGAGAATCAATCCTGATAGCCTCAGTTTCTAATCTTGGTGTTATGCTTTTAAAAGTAGAGGTTGAGGCAAAGGTAGGTAGGTGGGTGGGTGAACACCTTGGGGAGAGAGGAATGTTGTCTCAGCTATTTTTTGGGTGGAGAGTGCACAGGATTCCCTTGGAGACCAGGAGCTGAGTGCTGCAGAATGCTGCCCAGGGGCAGTGAGGTGTGTTGTGGCAGACTTTCAGTGCCCAGCACTTAACATAAAGGAGTAGAGAAGCAGAAGGTTGAGGTAATATATATACATTTGGAAGTTTATAGGGTAGATGCAGTGGGTAGTAAAGGGGTGGCTGAAGGAAAATTCCTTGTGAATATGACTAGTGATTAGCCAAGGAATAAAGTCAAGCTATAAGGTGGTGATGGTGTACTTGAAGAAAGAAAGGAAGGTTGAGAAGCAGAGTCAGAACGTGATGGCATAGAGTAATCACCATAGTTTGTCTGAGAGGTTAGGTGTACCTGCCAGAGATGAGTCTGGTGACCTTGTGGACCTGCACTTAGAACTCCAGGAAAGGGGAGGACAGGTGAAATTAAGGTCCCTGATTAGGTTTGCTGAAGTGCAGTGTGGGTGAGGGGCACAGGAGGTGAGCTGTCCCAAGCACTTGTTGGCAGAGATGGAGGAACATCAGTGCAACTAGTCCCGTGCATTCCTCTGAGCAGGAAACCAATCCTCAGGACTGTCAGGACTGTCAGGACAGTGGGGTGGGGACAGAGGTGGACAGATGACAGAAATGGGGCCTGGTTAAAGGAGGGAACAATACTCATTGTTCAGGTCTAAAATGTGGCTTCATTTTGTTTTATTCAGACAAGAGATACATTGTTAAAATTGCATACATTGTACTATTTTGATAGGAAATTTTGTTGGTATGTTCTGTCAAAAAGGTTTTTGAAATTATAGTTGCTCTGTTTTTTCCCCCCTCCATCCTAGGTCTTATTTTGCCGTCTTACAGATGAGCAACATAAAGTCTATCAAAATTTCATTGATTCCAAAGAAGTTTACAGAATTCTCAATGGAGAGACACAGGTCAGTTAAATGACAGAAGCATGATGGACGCCAGTGAAATTAAGGGAAGCAGGAAAAGAAAGGAAACGAGTACTAGTGAGGGAGAGATTCACTGTTACTCTTGAAAACATTTCAGTGGAAGCCTTCACTTAATTTGGAACCCTTACAGAAAGAAGTAAGAGGCCACATGGTTAAATTCAGCATGCTCCCTTTTTGTCTGCGCTGAAGCACTGTTACACTTAAATCCAACACCGCATAGTCTAGTAATAGAAGAATATCACTAGACAACATGATCGCAATGGTGAGTCCTTCAGGGACTGCTGATCCTATGCATAATGTAGGGAAGCACACTCAGAACTCTGGGGTTAGCAGGTGTAAGGAAGAAGAATTATTGTTACAAATTTTTCTAGCATAACATTTTAGTTACTGGCAATGCTCAGAAATCTGTAGGTAAATGTCTACTCATTAAATATATATATAGTAGCCCTGACTGGTGTGGTTCAGTGGATAGAGGACCAGCCTGTGAATAGAAAGATTGCAATTCCCAGTCAGGGCACATGCCTGGGTTGTGGGCTGGGTCCCTGCTTGGGGGGTGTGGGAGAGACAGCCAACTGTTTCTCTCTCACATTGAAGTTTCTCTCCCTCTCTCTCTCCCTTTCTCTCTCTCTCCCTTACACCCTCTCTGAAAATAAATAAAATCTTTTTTTAAAAGTGCATATAATAGGTTTATAATCAGCATTTAAGTCTAAATCTTTGTGTAAACTATTCAGCTTGTGTTTCAGTATCTTAAAATGTGAATTGTATTTTACTTATTTGACATGTATGACTTTCTTAGTCTTTGGTCTGTGCTCACTGGAGGTACTGCTGAGTAGTACAGTATGCTGCCTCATCCACACTCTTATTTATACATAGAAGCAGGTGAAGAGATGAGTGCAGGTGAAATGGCTACGTGTGTTCTCTAACATCTACATGCTTTTTCCTCCAGAGCGTCATTTCAGTTCTTTAACCATCTCTCATAATTTATTATTTTGTGTTTTATCATAGGTTTTTAAATTATTCACATTTATTCAACCCTTTTAAATCTCCCCTTATCTGCATATGCCTCCACATTGTGAAACCATAGGTGGTCTAGGTCAGCACTATCTGGTAGATACAGAATGTAAGCCACGTGTATGATTTAAAATTTTCTAATAATCGCATTTAAAAAGATAAAGAAAATGGTGAAATTATTTATAATTTTAAATATATTTTATTTACCTGATACATCTAAAATACTTTAATATGTACTCAGAATTTTAAAATAATTATTGAGATATTTTACTCTTTTGTTGTAAATCTTCAAATTTGGGTACAATTGACCCTTAAGCAACTCAGGGATTAGGGCACTGGCACTCCACTCCCACTTCATACAATCAGAAATTTCCTTTTAACTTTTGACTCTTCAAAAACTTAACTATAGTCATCCCTTGGTATCTGAGGCAGATTTGGGCCAGGGCCCTCTGTAGATACCAAAATTTAAAGTTCCTGAAGTCCGTTGTATAAAATAGCATGGAGAAATGCATACAGTTTGGTGCTCTGTGTGTGCAAATTCCCAGCCTCTGATCAAAAATACTGTTTTCAGTCAACAGTTGGTTGAATATGTGGGTGCTAAACCCATGGATATGGAGGGCTGACTATTTATCAAAAACAAATCTCACATAAGAAGGTTCTCTTTGTTCAGTTCAAACCTGTGTTGTTCAAGGGCCCACTGTATTTTACATTTGTGGAACATCTGAGTTTGGACTAGCCACCCTTCTTGTGCTTAGTAGCTACTAAGCTACTAAGCAAAATGTGGCTTTTGACAACTGTGTTGGACAGCACAGGTCTAGGGAAAGGGAGATGAGTTACAGATGATTCTTTCAGTGAATTGTAGCAATGTTCCTGATTTATTGAGATCTTTTGTACTGTAGATGTTTAATTGTTGTTTACTGGTCAGAATATCATAGTCTTTGATTACTGGCTTAATTTATGATTCATCTTTTTCACTTGAGCTTTTATACTGGTGAGCTTGATTTGAGTTACACTCTGGGAGCTGTGCAAGATGCCCCCTGCTAGTCGTGGAAAGTAGGTACTCACCCTTGGTCTGTCCTGCTGAATGGACTGTCCACATCTTTTTCATTTGTGTATTTTCTTTTTTTTTCATTTGTGTATTTTCTATGCAGAAAAATTTTCTGATGTAATACTAATATAAAGATAAGTTGGACTTCAACCTCTGACTCAAATTATAGAACTTTTAGTGAGGTACTTAGGTGTGTGTAATATTCTTTAAAATTTTTTTTACTTATTTATTTATTTTTAGACAGAGGGGAAAGGAGGGAAAAAGAGAGGGAGAGAAACATCAATGTGTGGTTTCCTGTAGCATGCCCCCTACTTGGGACCTAGCCCACAACCCAGGTATGTGCCCTGACTGGGAATCCAACTGGCGGCCCTTTGGTTCACTGCCTGCGCTCAATCCACTGAGCTACACCAGCCAGGGTAGGTATGTAATACTTAAATCCATTTGATAAGTCATATCACTGACTTCTCCAAAACTTAAGATGGGTATAACATTTTTTATTTACATTTAAAAGATAAGTCAGTTTTATATATAAAGTTTTTCTAATGTTGTGAGCTGCATATCTTCTTTTCTAGTGAGGGAAAAGAAATCATCATTAATTGAATATGACCTCTATAGACATGTGTGGCCCAATAAAACTGTTTTGTTTCAAGAGAACTTGCGCTATCAGGAGAAGAAGATGAGTCCAACTCTGAATGTGCTGTGATTAGGGAAGAAGAAGCTAGTGAAGAATTCCTTCTTAACCTGTGTTACATATCAAACAGCCTCCTTCCCTTCTTTCCTGAGTGAACATGAGTTTACACAAAATAATCTTGAGTGCACATAATTCTTTTATACCATAGATTTTCTCTGGACTTACAGCTTTAAGAAAAATCTGCAACCACCCTGATCTCTTTTCTGGAGGACCTAAGAATCACAGAGGTGTTTCAGATGATGAACTAGAGGAAGATAAGTTTGGATACTGGAAACGTTCTGGGAAAATGATAGTTGTCGAATCCTTGTTGAAGATATGGCACAAGCAGGATCAACGAGTATTGCTATTTTCTCAGTCAAGACAGGTGAGCATGCATATCTCATACAGGAAACAGTGTGGGAAAGAATCTAAAATAATGATTCCAAAAGCAAATCTACCTGCTGATGCTGGGGTTGCAGCCTGCAAATCTCTTTAGGAGCTTAGATCTTTCTCTAGATTTGGTGCCCAGAAGTTGGCTTTTTAAAAAGACTTAACCTGTGATTCTGGGGTTAAGGTGAGTTTGGATTTGAACTCAAATAAATGCCCACCTATTTATAAAAGTTGTATGAGTTAGCAGCAGGGAAATACCAAAAATGCTCTTGTAGCAATTGTATTTATCCATCTCAAAGCAACAAACCCTCTTAAGATTGTTGGGAAGGTGTGACTGTTTACACAAATTAGAGAAGCACTCACTGTGGGTGCGTATTTGATTTTAAACTCTTATTCCCCATCTTCTCTCCCAAACAGATGTTGGACATACTTGAAGTATTCGTTAGAGCCCAAAAGTATTCCTATCTCAAAATGGATGGTACTACTACAATAGCTTCAAGACAACCCCTGATTACAAGATTCAATGAGGTAAAGAGTTGAATATAACAGTAAAGTCTGATAGTGCTACTGTATGCAGAGGGACAGGAAGTGTTTCCACACCCACCTGAGCAGTGCTTATATCTGGACTGGGCAGCAAGTGGAGAGGGATGTTTTGCTAACTTTATGCATTTATGGATTATTGATGTGTGTGTGTATTTTTAATTGAAAATCTAACTTTTACATGTTACTAATATTGACATTAAAAGTAGGAGTCATGAGATGGCAGCTTGACTTACCAGGGGTCTTTAGGGCATAACCCATTCCTTATGTCAGAAATATTTTTTATGTGTAGAGTATGGAAAGGCAGAGGTGAAGAGTTCTAACTGCTCTTAAATGTGCATACTTAGTGTTGTATGTCTTACTTCTAGGACACATCCATATTTGTGTTTCTTCTGACTACTCGGGTGGGTGGCCTAGGAGTCAACCTGACGGGGGCAAACAGAGTTATTATCTATGATCCTGACTGGAATCCAAGCACAGACACACAGGTCTGTTTATTTTTTAAAAGAAATGTATTGCTGACGTATAATTGATCCTTGAACAACATGGGTTTGAACTGTGTGCATCCACTTTTATGTAGATTTTTTTTTTCAGTAAATACAGTAAATGTATTTTGTCTTCTTTGTGATTTCTTAGTAATATTTTCTTTTTTTCTAGCTTACTTTATTGTAAGAATACAGTATTAATACATATATAAAATATGTGTTCCTCAGCTGTTCATGTTATGGATAAGCTTCCTGTTAACAGTAGGGTCTTAGTAGTTAAGTTTTGGGGGAGCAGAAGTTACATGCAGGTTTTTGACCATGCGAGAGTTAGCTTGTTGTTCAAGGGTCAGCTGCAGTTTAATGGCACTTGGGAGTATCCTTCGTGTTCCTCTTAGCTTCAGCTTCACATCTGGGTTGTTGCTTAGTCTTCAGCACAAAGATGTTCTCCAGTATCACAGACAGGAAGAGTTCCAGCAGTTTGTTCACAGTATCCATCTCTAGATCTGAGGTAAAAGGAGTATGTGACATACTCATTGTTTGTTAGAGATGTTAGTCTCTCTTTGTCACATGCCTGTTTATCTTCCTTAATAGGCCTTAGATGTATTTAGCCTCATTGGATAATTCTAACTTTGGGAGTGGAAGGAAGCAACAAGTTATCTCTCTCTTTTCAACAGTGCTTGCAGTGGGAAGGGCCCTTGTTAAGCTGTATTCTCTGCCGTAGGCCCGGGAGCGAGCGTGGAGGATCGGCCAGAAGAAGCGGGTGACGGTGTATAGGCTTCTGACTGCGGGCACCATTGAAGAAAAGATTTACCACCGGTCAGTCTGCCCAGCCCTTGATTGACGTCTGCCCTTCTAGTTGCAGTGTGTGCAGGGTATACAAGTATACTGCTGGGGTTACAAGGAGGGTTTTTTTTAAAGTATTGTTTTTAAGAAGTCTTTCCGTATAGGAACAGTAGTTGCTATAACTTGAGGAATAATTTTTTTTAATTATTGTTTTTATATTTTTAAAAATTTTAAAAACAAGAATTTTTTAAAATTCTTGTTTTTATATTCTTTCTTACTAAATTAAATGGCTGATTATGAGTTTTTTTAAATGTTTTGAACATGGTCATTTTTCACCTTATTAAATTGCAAGGACTGCTTATGTTTAAACTTCATATTGTTTGAGAGAAATGTTCCTACCTACTATATTGTGCCATCTTTGTTCAGAACAATTTTAAGAAGTGACAAAATTAAAATGCTAACATACTGGTATTTACACATAGCAGGTAAGTAGGGGTGTTCTGTTAGCCTTGGCTCAGATGCCCATAGAGAAAGGTTGATCAGGACACCTGTCTTTTCCTCCATCTTTCTCTCTGTAAAGAGTACGGGATTTAAGCAAGAATAACTTCAACAGTAGAATGGAGATGTTGCCAATTTCTCACCTTCCTCTGCTGAAGACTTTATTTAGCCACATCCCAGCTCATAGGGGGAGGCGCCCCTTCTTTCCACCCTGTTCTGGTCCACTCCTGGGGGTGGCCCATGTTCTTCAGGGCCTTCTGTGAAAGTGCTTGAGGCAAGCTGAGTACCGATGGGGAGAGCTTCCTCTGAGAGAGATGACTTAGCCAAAAGAATTAGCAACCAGTAGGAGGAGAGGACAGGGCTACCTCATAAAGCTATCTGGGCAAGAGTGACAATGGTGTGGTAGTCTAGCATAGAGTGTGGATCAGCAGGTAGAAGCTGGTGAGATAGCTCCAAGTGAAAACTTTGCAGCCCAGGTAAGAGTTTCCTGAGCCCCATCACAGGAAGATTCTGCCTAGGGCAGGGCAGGGAACACTTGGTCTAGGGGTCTGGAGGCTGACTCTTTTAGACTTAGAGACAGTATTAGTCATTTGAATGTATATGACAAGGTGTTTATTAAAATGTGATGAATCTTGGAAATTGCAAAAGCCCATTGGGTATGAATAATAATAAAGTATCATTTCTTACTTAGATTCAGTGAAATATGGGAGACCACCTGATGTTTTATGTACTTCCTGAATTGTAAATTTCCAAGGCTACAAGTTCTGGGGATTATTTAGACATCTGCATAGCTATAGCTATCATGTCTCTCTTACATTGTTTTACAATTAGAATTTTGAGATAGAGCTAAGCATTGTTTCATACTAGTTTAATTTTTATCTTTTAGACAAATCTTCAAGCAATTCTTGACAAATAGAGTGCTCAAGGATCCAAAGCAAAGGCGATTTTTCAAGTCCAATGATCTTTATGAGCTGTTTAGTCTGACTAGTCCTGATGCATCCCAGAGCACTGAAACAAGTGCTATTTTTGCAGGTATTACATAAAGTCATTTAACTTAAAGGAATAAATTACATAAGAATTATGTAATGTAACATTAGTGTGTTTTTTCCTTTTATAGGAACTGGTTCAGATGTTCAGACACCCAAATGCCATTTGAAAAGAAAACTTCAACTGGCCTTTGGAACAGAGCATAACATTCCAATGTGCAAAAAGTTCCCTGATTCTAATGCATTTGCAAATGATGGCACATCATCTGAAGAGAAATCTATAGCTATTAGATCTGATGGAAACACAGCAACTTCTAATCAAGATGATCCTTTGAGAGATGCCCCTCAAACATCTAGGAATCTAACCAGAGAAGAGACAGATGCAGTGTCTCAGCTGGAGGGCTTATCAGTGTTAAGTGGAAATGGGGGGTGTTCAAATTCTCCAAGAATCAGTAAGATGGACAGGATATCTGGTGAGGAAAGCATCGATGAAAAACAGGGCCTTTCTGATAAAACAGAAAGCTGCCAGGTTCAAACAGAACCTCTTTGGGAGAATCAACAAATGGAAAAGAATTTTTATAAGCACAAGTCAAAAGTAAAACATAGTGTGGCAGAAGAAGAGACCCAAGAGAAACTTCTGAGAACGAAGCAAAAGCCGAAGAACTCTAGGTGTTGCAGAGACGCCAAGTTTGAAGGAACACGAATTCCACACCTAGTGAAGAAAAGGCAGTCCCAGAAGCAAGACAATGAAAATGAGAGTGAGAATAAGGAGCGGAGCAATGATGATTATGTGTTAGAAAAGCTTTTCAAAAAATCAGGTAATCCTTTTGCTGGATTTGCCACAGGTGTCTTAGGAATAGAACATGAATATGGGTTGTTTCTAGCAATAGCAGTCTTTACTGACAGTGCAGAGAGGGCTCTCCACTGGAAGTATTTTTTCTTCTAAAATTAAGATTTGAAATTTATTGACATTTTAAAAAATCATATTCACCTCTTTTTTTTTTTTTAAAGACCTAGAGAATTTGAAACTTTGGAGAACAATAGAACTTCTAACCACTTATAGGAGGGGTACAATACAATGCTTTACATGGATTTGTGCTATCTAAACATTTAGAAAATTTCTCTACCTGCTATATTTATCTGATTTTCCAACCACAAGAGATTAAAGTAAAATCATGGGGAAAGAGACCCAGGGATATGTCTAGAGGCTGGCATTCTGGAAGTAGGAAAGCTGATAGCTAATATTAATGGTGAAAAGTTGGGAAAGTAGACTCAATAATTGCTCAGGACCCTGTAGGATAGGTAGTCCTGCAGTTAGTCACCCCTGGGAGTGTCATCCCTTTCAGCCCTGGGCAGTCATTGTGTTCACTGTGATGCGAAGATCACTGTTTATGGTTCTTTGTTCAAGAAGGCAGGCTTATGTATGGCATTTCAGGTAGAAGCCTTCTGGGCCCCATGCTCTCTTGTAACTTGGTAATGCTCTTTTTTTTTTTTTTACAGTCACTGGTCTGTTTTCTTAGGAAATTATCTGTTTTGTCTAGTTTTCAAGTTCATAGAGACATAGAAAATACTTGTAATATCTTTTTAAATTTGCTTCTGTTTCAAGATAATTTCCCCCTTACCATTTTTAATTTTGTATATTCCCTCTGATTTTTTTCTTTAATCAAATTAAGCTAGTGATTTGTCTTTTTTTCCCGCCAGTAAACCAGGATTTTGATTTATTAATTAGATCCATGGTTGTTCTCTACTTTATTAATTTTTATTTTTATCTTCATTACTTTCTTCCTTGTGCTTTTGTTTTTGTTGTGTTTTGGTGATTTTTGGCTTAATTTTTATAAAACTGACTTAAATATTCTCTTATTCTTTTATTTTTATTGATGTAAGATTCTTTTTTAATATAATTTATTGATTATGCTATTACAGTTGTCCCATTTTCCCCCTTCACTCCCCTCCACCTTGCACACCCTTCCCTACCCACTTCCCCCCCTTTAGTTCATGTCCATGTGTCATACTTATAAGTTCTTTAGCTTCTACATTTCTCATACTATTCTTGCCCTCCCCATCTATTTTCTACCTACCATCTATGCTACTTATTCTCTGTACCTTTTCCCCCTCTCTCCTCCTCCCACTCCCCTGTTGCTAACCCTTCATGTGATCCTCATTTCTATGGTTCACTCCTGATCTAGCTGTCTTCTTAGTTTGCTTTTGTTTCAGGTGTAGTTGTTCATAACTGTGAGTTTACTGTCCTTTCACTGTTCATATTTTTTATCTTCTTTTTCTTACATAAGTCCCTTTAACATTTCATATAATAAGGGCTTGGTGATGATGAACTCCTTGAATTTGATCTTATCTGAGAAGCACTTTATCTGTCTTTCCATTCTAAATGAAAGTTTTGCTGGATAGATCAATCTTGGATGTAGGTCTTTGGATTTCATGACTTGGAATACTTCTTTTCAGCCCCTTCTTGCCTGTAAGGTCTCTTTTGAGAAATCTGCTGACAGTCTGATGGGAACTCCTTTGTAGGTGACTGTCCCCTTAGCTCTTGCTGCTTCTAGAACTCTCTCCTTCATTTTAATCTTGGCTAATGTAATGATGATGTGCCTTGGTGTGTTCCTTCTTGGGTCCAACTTCTTTGGGACTCTGTGAGCTTCCTGGATTTCCTGGAAGTCTATTTCCTTTGCCAGATTGGGGAAGTTCTCCTTTATTATTTGTTCAAATAACTTTTCCTCTCGTGGCTGTTTCTCTTCCCCTTCTGGTACCCCTATAATTCGGATGTTGGAGTGTTTAAAGATGTCCTGGGGGTTCCTAAGCCTCTCCTCATTTTTTTGAATTCTTGTTTTCATCGTTTTTTGTTTGGTCATTTTCTTCCTCTTTCTGGTCCACTCCTTTGATTTGAGTCCCAGTTTCCTTTCCATTACTATTGGTTTCCTGTGCATTTCCCTTCATTTCAATTAGTTTAGCCTTCATATGTTCCTCTAATTTGTGACTAAAATCAACCAGTTCTGTGAGCATCCTGATCACCAGTGGTTTGAACTGTGCGTCTGAAAGTTTGGCTATTTTTTCATTGCTTAGATTTATCAGCTCTGGGGCTCTGAGTTGTTCTTGAGCCATTTTTGGTCTGTTCTCACACCTTAAGTATGAGGAGAGGCGCCTTCAGTGTTCACCAGGGCGGGGCCACCCAGGTCACTGGTTTGTGATGCTGTACATGGGGGCAGGGTCAGAGAGGGAGCAGTGGCGGTCCTCTCTGCTCGCCTGGTCCGCCTCACCACTTGCCCCCCCCCCCCGCCTGTTTATCTGAGCACAAATGTGCGAGTCCGCCGCACTGCGTTGGGCCTGCGCTGTCTGTCTCAATGCATGTCTCTTCACTGGTTTATCTGTGAGCAAATGCACGACTTCAGACAGCCAGCCTCCCCCCAAGCCTTCCTGTAGCTACCCCGCACCTGGGATCCATGCCCTCAGCTGCTTGTGTGCCACCGGGGTTGAGGAATTGTTTTTGCCCGACCACTCCACTGCTGGCTTCACCCTTCTCACCGGTTTAGCTGAGCTTTTTGTTGTTTTTGGACTCCGTATTGTTTGATTTTCTGTGGTTTGGTTGCGTTTATTGTTGTTAAAACTTTGTTGTTTTTAGATTTGGTTGTTCGAGGAAGCAAAGTGTTTCCACCTACACCTCCATCTTGGCAGAAGTCCTTGCCCTTCCATTCTAAATGAGAGCTTTGCTGGGTAAAGCAATCTTGGATGTAGTTTCTTGACTTTCATGACTTGGAATACTTCTTTCAGCCCCTTCTTGCCTGTAAGGTGTCTTTTGAGAAATCAGGTGACAGTCTTATGGGAACTCCTTTGTAGGTATTGTTACCTTATCTCTTGCTGCTTCTAGGATTTTCTTCTTCATTTTAATCTTAGATAATGTAATTGTGATGTGCCTTGGTGTGTTCTTCCTTGGGTCCCTTCTTTGGGACTCTCTGAGCTTCCTGGACTTCCTGGAGTCTATTTCCTTTGCCAGATTGGAGAAGTTCTCCTTTATTGTTTGTTAAAATAACTTTTACGCTTGTTGCTCTTCCTCTTCTCCTTCTGGTACCCCTATGATTCAGATGTGGGAACATTTAAAGATGTCCTGGAGGTTCCTAAACCTCTCCTCATTTTTTTGAAATCTTGTTTCTTTATTCTTTTCTGTTTGGTTGTTTCTTTCTTCCTTCTCGTCCACCCCACTGATTTGAGTCCCCATTTCCCTCCCATCAGTATTGATTCCCTGTACATTTTCCGTTATTTCATGTAGGGTAGCCTTCGGTTTTTTTATCTAATTTGCGACCAAATTCACCCAATTCCGTGAGCATCCTGATCGCCAGTGCTTTGAACTGTGCATCTGATAGGTTGCTTAGTTGTATTTTTTTCTGTAGCTTTGATCTGGTTTCATTTGGGCCTTTTTTTTTTTTTTTGTCCTGACGTGTCTTATGTAGAGAGGGGCATAGCCATAGGTGTTTGCCGGCGGGGGTGGGGGGGTCAACCCAGTCGCTGGGTTGTGATGCTGTGTGTGGGGCAAGGGTCACAGAGGGAACAATGATGCTTGCTCCACTCTGCCAGATTTCATTCCGTTCTAGTGCTTCCCCCAAGCAAACTGGGCCCTTCTGTTGCTGATTCTCAGGTGGGTGGGCTTGTGTATTTTCTAGGAGCCTGTGGGTCTCTCCAATGAACTCTCCTATGAGGCTGGTAATTTCTTCTGGCACCTCAACCCCCACAGGTGTTTTCAATTGGTGTTTTGAGGCTTTATTTCCCCACACAGCTGCCCTGGGTTGTGCAGTCTGCCTCCCCAGTTTTGCCTGGTTTATCTGCGCATGAATGTGGGACCACCTGGTCAGCCAGCCACCTCGCTGGGTCTGCCTGCTACCACCCTGTACCCGGAGTCTGACAGCCCTGCCTGTGCACCCGGGGTCCACCTGCTGCCATCTTGTGCACCTGAGGTCCGCCAGCCACCACTTTTTTTGGTACAGCCCCTCTCTACCTGGCCGCCCACCTGGGCCCCTCCTACCAGTCTGGATGAATGTGTCTATTTTAACTCTTTGGTTGTCAGATTTCCATACAGTTCAATTTTCTGCAAGTACTGGTTGGTTCTTTTTGTTTCTAAATTTTTGTTGTCCTTATTTTTACCTCCTGTGCAAGGAGGTATAGTGTGTCTGTCTACCTATGCCTCCATCTTGGCTGGAAGTCTGGTGTAAGTGCTTCTATGTATTCTCCGTTGATAACTGCATTAAATTCTTCTGTTATGTGGTGTTTTCATGGTCATTACATTTTAGGTATTCTATAATTCTGGTTTATATTTTTTCCTTAAATAAAGAATTTATTAATAGGAGGTTTCAAATTTTCCGTATAGGTGGGAAGAGGTTATGTTGAAGTGATCAAAGAATTATGCTTTGATAATTGTTAATCATGGAAAGTACTAGTCCATATTTCATAAGGTTGTGATGAAGATAAATTACAATAGCATTTGTAAAGTTTTTGGGTCTCAGTAAAAAGCAGCTAAACTATTAATTATTTTTCTCCACCCACAACATGCTAGACTATACAGAGAAAAAAACTCTGATCCTTTACATCCTGAAATAACATATTCCCTGTTTCCTTTGTTCTTGCTAGTTGGTGTGCACAGTGTCATGAAACATGATACCATCATGGATGGAGCCAGTCCAGATTATATGCTGGTGGAGGCAGAGGCCAATCGTGTGGCCCAGGATGCTCTGAAAGCACTGAGGCTTTCTCGCCAGCGGTGTCTGGGAGCAGTGTCTGGTGTGCCTACCTGGACTGGCCACAGAGGGTTTTCTGGTGCACCAGTGGGAATAAAGTAAGAGATTATTGTCCTGCCATGCAGGCTTGGAATAAAGTCGGAGCTGACATGGATACTTGTCCTGTTTATATGCAGTAGTGGAAAATCTCTCAAGGAGGAATTAGATCAGCCAATTTGCATTACTTGGGGAAACACATTCGTAATCTTGCCTTCTTCCTTGCTTGCATCCCCTGCTTTTTCAAAGCCAGTTTTTTAGGGGAAGGAGAAATGATCTGTTTTGTTTCAGAGATGATGTTAAAAATAGTAAGATTCAGAATCAATAAACCTTTATAAGGTGATTGGCTAGTTTTCAACAATTAGTTATCGCTATCCTATTCAGTCTACTCTTTTGGAAGGATTTTCCTACCTAGGATTGAGGGTAGTTTCCATCATATGTCAAACAAGGGTCTTGAGTGGTTCTTACTCCAGATGGAGCAGTTACTTCCCAGGAAAATAAAGTAGAGGGGAATTAGTTTATGACTATGAAAGAAGAATCATGTGGAAGAAAATTTTTCCAGTAAGAATTTTGTTGTTGAAAGGACATTTCATCTCTTAAGCCACAAAAATAAACATTTTATTTACGATGATTCTTTTCCATTTAGGAGTAGATTTGGTCAGAAAAGGAATTCCAGCTTCTCTGTGCAGCATCTTTCTTCAACGTCTTTAAAGGAGAAGTGCCAGGTAATATGATAGCCTGTCTGCTTTTCACGTGAGACTCACTTGATTGAATTGTCATGAAAATTTAATCCAATTATGATGTGAAAAATATTGCTGCCATAATGACATCTGATATTTGTGCTCAGTTCCCTGATATATGAAGCACTTTTATTTGAATGTAAAAGGGCCAGCTAACTTCCTAAAATAAGTCTTTAACCAAAGATTTGCAGCAGAATCTTTTTTTCCCTTAGAAAGTTAATATGAGGGTCAGGGGAAAGAAAGTTAATACAGGGATGGGTGACATGTGAGTCATTGCCCAGACAGTCTGTCCCACCAGAGGTTTAGTGCTAGTTTTAAAGACCACTGCCTTCTAGAATAAAGGTCTAGAAGACTGCCTTGAATGTTTGTGATTCACTAGCTGCCAGAGCACGTGCCATCTCACCCTGAGTGCCCTGAGAGTAACTACTGGGCCAGAGTCAACGCTCTCTTTGGTCTTTGCTAGTCAAGGGTTATGTTACTGATACAATTTGAAAACTCCCTGGTTCAGGCTTCTATTTTAGATTAATATGAACACGGGAATAGAAATCCTTTGTTGTTTTAAGGAAACACATGAGGTATAAAGTAGTAAAGAATAAAATGATTTAAAAGTGAAGAAAAAGAAGTACACCTGTGATATTGTTCCTTACTCACAGTACCAATCTAGATCAGGGTAAATTTGGGAAGAACAGGAAAAGCCCACAGAACTTGTTCCTTCTAAAGGCAGTTAGTTTCCTAGAAGCCGCCTCTGGAAGCCTTTTCCCCAGCAACTTGGCTCTCCCTCCATCACGATCACCTGTAATGGTGACCAAGTGAATAGTGTAGTTTTGGAGGGGATTTTTGTTTGTTTTTTAAGGAAATGTTCTTTGGTAGTGGGTGGATTTAAGTGCTTGACTCTGTTTTCCCTCTGTGGTAGATACTATTTCACTCTTTCCCCATAACTTCCCATCCTGGCCTGGGTGCATGTGTTATTTAAGGCCCCTCAGAACCTTTGGGGAAATTAGTGGGGCCATATATTAGATGTTATATGTATCAATGCAGTGGTCCTCTTTCTTCAGGACAACATCATGAAGAAGGATGGAAAAGATAATGTTTCTGAGCATGTTAGTGGAAAAGTGGAAGATGTAGAGTCCTCATGCGGGGCCCTCACTTCGTCTTCACTGCTGGCTAAAATGAGAGCTAGAAACCACCTGATTTTGCCAGAGCGGCTAGAAAGTGAAACTGTGCACCTTCAAGAGACTTCTGTTCCACTGCCCTCCACCACAGAACATGATGACCTGCTGGTGGAAATGAGGAACTTCATTGCTTTTCAGGCCCGCGTGGATGGCCAGGCCAGTACTCAGGAGATATTGCAGGAGTTCGAATCCAAGTTATCAGTTTCACAGTCTTGTGTCTTTCGAGAACTATTGAGAAACCTCTGCACTTTTCATAGAACTTCTGGTGGCGAAGGAATTTGGAAACTCAAGGCAGAGTACTGCTGATTTACATTCATTTCTAAACTTTTAATCGACTTCTCTAATGGAAATTTCTGATTATAATTAGTAATCATCATGTTTGTCAACAGAGGTTGGCTGCATTTGATGTTTACTTTGAGTGATAGCTAGCTCATAATTAAAAGTTTAAGGAAGAAGAAATTCTTTGAAACTAAAAAGTTTTCAAAATACTTGGGTTAATTTTTCTGGTACTGTGCATTATGTTATAAAATCAGGGACCTGTCTGGCTGGGTGGCTAAGTTGTTTGGAGCATCATACCATACACCAAAAGGTTACCGGTTTGATTCCCAGTCAGAGCACGTACCTAGGTTGTGTGTTCGATCCCCAGTCAGGATGCATATGGGAGGCAACTGATTGATGTTATCTTTGAATCATTTTAATTGCCTTTAAACAATCTTTTAAGGCGATGTTTCATTGCCAGGTATTTTTGTTAGTAAAGCATGAAATAGCTTGGCAATAAGTAAGACATGTTCACAGAAAGTTGTAGTGTACTCAGTTTTATACTGACTATACTTTAGGAAAATGAAGTTGGTTATAATAAAAATAAAAACAAAAAATTAGAACCAAAAGTGTGTTCAGATAAAGCAACCAATACATGTGCACACAAACGTCACTCTAGACCACATCCACTATGTCATTACTGCATAGTGACCACCATTTCAGCCCTCCCTGCTTTCTGTGATGGAAGGTAGCTAAATGTTTTTTGTTTTTTTTTAGATTTTATTTATTTATCTTTAGAGGGGAAGGGAAGGAGAGAGGGAGAGAAACATCAATGTATGGTTGCCTTTCGCGCATCCCCTGCTGGGAACTGGCCTGCAGGGAACACGCCTGCAACCCCTGGTATGTGCCCTGACTGGGAATCGAACCGCGATTGTCTGGTTCGCAGGCCCGCGCTCAATCCACTGAGCTACACCAGCCAGGGCCCTAAATGTTTTTATTGTAATCGTTGTTTGCTTTCCTCGTGATGGTGACTGCTTTATGTCAGGCAGCACTGTTCTTCTTAATGTCATTTTGTTTCCATCTCTTTTTCCTTTGCATTCATGATAACTCTTGTGTTTTAAGAGGTTTGCTTTTCCGCTGCATATTTCCAGCTATTATGTGTGTGTAGTTTTCCAATGGTGGTGTTTTGACCCACAGTTTTTCTTATCCTTGTTTTTCTTGATTCCTTTTCATTGTTATGTTAAGACCTCAGCTATGAAGTCTTGTTTTCTTAAATTCTTTGTACACCTTAATTTTTTTCCTAGAGTTGTGACTGTGCAACTTGTTTTTTCATTGAATATGTTTTCTCTGGCTTGCTATTTGCCTCTCTCTGATCTTTCTGTGTTATGCTCACCTTCCTCTCATTCCATGTTTTCATTTCATACTCCTGCTGAAGGTGAGCAGAGCCCTGTCCAGATCTCTGTGCTCCTCCCTGCCACCCAGAGAGAAGGGTTCTGGGTTTGGATCTTAGGAAGGTGTCTGCTGGGCAACATGAAGCTGTGGTGGGAGGACTTGGGTTTTACCATATCTTGCTGTGTGTAAAGCACACTTTTCTGCCCAAATTTTTGGAGAAAAATAAGGATGTACATTATACATGAAAAGTTCCTGAAATGCTTTATATTGGTTCTTGTGTTTTGTGATTATTTATTACATAGAATTTCTTGTACTATAATATGTTCAAAAATAAATGCTCAGATTCTCTTATAATACAAAAAACAAGTATCTAAATATAAATAAATAATTGAATTAAAAATTAAAATGAAAGATATTTTTCCTGAAAGTTTGGGCCAAAAAATGTGGGTGTGCATTATATATGGAGCACACTGTACATACAAAATATGGTACTTTTCCATTCTGAGATTTTGTTAAATAGCTTGTGCCAAGAATCCCTCTCCTTTTGTAGGAGATGTCATAGAGTCAGGATTAACACAAGGATTTTCTGCTGATTTTTTAAAATTATTCTGTCTTGTTCATTTTTTTTCTTTTTTGGGGGGTGATTCATTATGTATTAGATTTTAGAGGAGGAAGAATCTATTATTATGCTCCTAGCCATCATTGTCTAGAAGTCATAGAAGGGATTTTTAAACAGGTTAATAAATCTTCAACTTGAGAACTTGGCTCATAAGGGAGTCAAATTCATGACTATTTTGTTTCTGAGAAGGGCTTTTTTATTTTTATTTTTGTAATTATTAATATATAAGAGAATTGTGTCCCCCTTGTTCTGAGATTGACATCCTAATGCAGTTAATGAGTGTGAAGAGTTTGGGCATCATATTGTATGAAATCTAAACTATACTGAGTTAGAGAACTTGTAGCCTTTTTGACAAATAGAAAATGCTGTAAAAAGTTAGGATGCAGTGAAAGGAAGGTGGTCTTCAGTACAGTTCTTGTCTCACCTACTGGCGTGCTGTGACTTTGGTTAGGTCACTGCCCTCCTGTATCTCTGTGTGACTGTCAGTAAACATTGTTATTATGTTTCCCAGAGTGAGAGACTTAGAGGAAGAAACTCTAAGTATAATGGTTTTAACAATGTAGAGTAACTTACTCATTTAGATAAAATATAATTTTGGGAACTTTAAAAGCTTTGTGCAGTATACATTAGAAGCCATTTAATACAAAAGAAAATAGTAAAGGAATATATGAGGAACAAAAATGATGAGACATAGAACAAAAAATAAAGGAGCAGATGTAAGCCCAACTATATTAGTAATAAATGTGAATCAGTTAATCCAATCAAAATCTCTCCAGTCACAGATTGTCAGATTGGATTTTTTTTAAAAAAAATCTTAATTTGTCTGCAGGAGGGTATACTTTATTTATTTTTTTGAAAGTTTAAATGTTTGTTTAAAACAAATGCCAAATCACTTGACCCTCAACCTTTCAAACTTCTGGCTAACAAAAGGTAGTTCTTCAGCAACAACATCAGAGCAGTGGAGTAACTCAGACTATACTGTAATTCAAAAGCATTACAACTGGATACCTGGCTTGTGTAGCTCAGTGGATTGAGCGCAGACCTGTGAACCAGAGTATCGCAGTTCGATTCCCAGTTAGGGCTGGGAATTGCAGGCCAGTTCCCAGCAGGGGACACATGAGAGTCAACCATACATTGATATTTCTCTCCCTATCTCCTTCCCTTCCCTTCTAAAGATAAATAAATAAAATCTTTTAAAAATTATATAATATATAATTATTTTTTTTAAAAAAGCATTACAACTGGAAAACTTAAATCACCTAGCACTGCATAGAGAAGAAAGGTAGAGAATTAGCTACAGAAAACCATTCAAAAGCATTTCTGCTGCCTCACCTTTCACTTTTTATCTAATGCATGGCTGCCAGCTCTAGACTGGTTTCTGTTTGCATAAAAACCAGTTCAAAGGTTCAGTGGGAAAAATCGTGTGGCTGTCCCAGGCACAATTTGGGAAAGTGCAAATTGTTTCTGAGATACAGAACTTGGATTCTCAGCCAGATTCATGGCAAACCTAGGTTTCCCCAGGGAACATGTTAGAGAAAATGACCACAGCATTCTACTGCTAGAGAATAACTCCCCGCCAGAACAAGGGCAGGACTCTCACAAGGAGGGTACACTCTAAACTAAAAGACACAAAAAGAATGGGAAAAGGTATATCATGTAAACAGCAACCACAGAAAAGCTGAAGTACAATACTAGTATCAGGCAAAATACACTTCAAATTATAAAAATTGTTACTAGAGATAAAGAGGGACATTTTATAATGGTAAAGGGATCAACCCATCGAGAACATATAATGATTATAAATGCATGCACCTAATAACAGCACCAAAACATGAAGCAAAAACTGGCAGAAGTGAAGAGAGAAATCAACAATAATAGTTGTAGACTTCAGTACCCCATTTTTAATAACGGTTAGAGCCACTAGGTAGAAGAACATTAGCAATGGAATAGAAGATTTGACCAACATAATAAGCCAACTGAACCTAACATTCTATAGAAAATCCTAGCCAACAATTTTAGAATATACATTCTTCTCAGGTACACATGGGACAATCTTCAGTATAGACCATATGCTTGGTCATAAATCTCAATAAATGTAAAAGGACAGAAGCATGACCCAGAACAATAGAACTATTAGAAGAAAACAGGACAAAAGTTTTGACATTAGATTTGGTAATGATTTGGATATGACACCAAAAAAAAAAAGATTGTGCCATGAAAATTTAAAAAGTGCTTCAAAGATGCTACCAACAGAGTAAAAAGGCAACCCACAGAATGGGAGAAAATATTTGTAAATTATATATCCTTGAAGGGATTAATCAGAATATATGAAGAACTTAAACTAAAAAAAAATTCTAAAATGGGCGAAGAGCTTAAATAGACATTTCCCCAAAGAAGATAGGTAAATGGCCAATAAACACACGAAAAGATACTTAATATCACTAGGGAATTATAAATCAAAATTACAATGAGGTATCACCTCACACCCATTAATTAGGATAGTTACTAGCATAGAAAACAAAAGTTGACAAGGATGTGGAAAAGTTGAAAATCTTGTGCACTGTTGAGGGCAATGTAAAATGGTACCACCACTATGGAAAGCAGTATGGCAATTCTTTAAAAACATTTTTAGTAAAATTACCATATGATTCAGCAATTCCACTTTCAGGTATATACATATAAAAATTGAAAGCAAGGTCTCAAAGAAATATTTGTACATCCATGTTCATAGAAGCACTATTCACAAGAGGTGGGAGCAGCTGAAGTATTAATTATAGATGAATGGGTTCAAAAAATTGTAGTACATCCAAATGGTGGAATATTAATCAGCCATGAAAAGGTATGAAGTACTGATACGCATTACAAAATCAAGAAACTTCAAAAATAATTAAAGTGACAGAAATCAGACACAAAAGACTACATATTTTATGATTCCATTTGTACAAAATATCCAGAATAAACAAATCCATAAAAACTGTGGGTAGTAGGTTAGTAGAGACTGGAAATTGGGGAATGAATGCAGGCTCCCTGATAGGTTCACAGTTCTCTTTTGGGGTGATTAAAGTGCTTTGAAACTAAATAGAGTTGGTTGTACAAAATTGTGAATGTACTAAAGGCCACTGAATTGTACACTGAAAACCATGTCTAGGTGTCCATGATGCGTTTAGTCAATTTAGGTAACATTTTTCTATAAAATTGTCTATTTTGTCTAAATTTTTGAAGTTATCCTTTTGTGGATATTGTCTCTTTGTCATAATAGTTCAGCATTTTGCTCTTATTTTTGTAAACTTATTTTTATTCCATATGGGCCATTGGCATTTTGAATTTTAGGACTCATGTTTTTCAGCAATTCTGGAAAATTGTAGGAAATGTTTCTTTGAATATTGCCTCTTTCCAGTTTCCTCTACTTCCATCCATCTGTAATCTTTTCTAATCTTCTATTTAAGCTCTCCATCAAATTTTGAGTTTTATAATAACATTTATTTCTAAAACTGCTTCTTCCCCGTACCATAATCTTTGTGATTTTATTTCATCACTTTTTTCTTATTGAATATTTTTATGGGTAAAATTTTAAACATAATAGTTTTAGAGGGTCCAATTATTGTGTTACATGAAATTCTTGGTATCCATCCTGTTCTTTGTTGTGTCCTTTGGCTTTCCTTCATAGTGGATCTTTTTTTTTTTTATTGCATAGGCTTACGTGCACTATGACAACATATTCACAATCATTACTTTGTTACAATAATCTTTATTTTTCAATTACATTGACATACAATATTATTTTCAGGTGTACTGATTAAAGTACTGATTAACATTCATATAACTTATGAAGTGATTGCCCCCACCTGGTACCATACATAGTTATTACAATATTGACTATGTTTCTTATGCTGTACTTTACATACTCATGACTATTTTGTTTTTAATATATTTTTTCATTATGCTATTACAATTGTTCCATTTTTTTCCCTTTATTCCCCTCTGCCCTGCATCCCCCTCATACCAGAATTCCTCTCCCTTGGTTCATGTCCATAGGTCATACTTATAAGTTCTTTAGCTTCTACATTTCCCATACTATTCTTGCCCTCCCCCTGTCTATTTTATACTTATCATCTATGCTACTTATTCTCTGTACCTTTTCCCCCATTCTCCCACTTCCCCCTCCCCACTGATAACCCTCCATGTGATCTCCATTTCTATGATTCTGTTCCTGTTCTAGTGGTTTTCTAGTGGTTCATTTTTGTCTTTTATTAGGTTTAGTTGTTGTTAATTGTGAGTTGTCATTTTACTATTAATAGTTTTGATCATCTTTTTCTTAGATAAGTCCCTTTAACATTTTATGTAATAAGGGCTTGGTGATGATTAACTTCTTTAACTTGACCTTATCTGGTAAGCATTTTATCTGCTCTTCCATTCTAAATGATAGCTTTGCTGGATAGAGTAATCTTGGATGTAGGTCCTTACCTTTCATGACTTGGAATACTTTTTCCAGACCCTTCTTACCTATAAGGTTTCTTTTGAGAAATCAGACAGTCGTATGGGAACTCTTTTGTAGGTAACTGTCTCCTTTTGTCTTGCTGCTTTTGATATTTAATGTAATTATGATGTGCCTTGGTGTGTGCTTCCTTGGGTCCAATTTGTTTGGGACTCTCTGAGCTGCCTGGACTTCCTGGAAGTCTATTTCCTTTGCCAGATTGGGAAAATTCTCCATTATGTTTTTAAATAAATTTTCAATTTCTTGCTCTTCATCTTCTCCTTCTGACACCCCTATGATTCCGATGTTGGAACATTTAAAGTTGTCCCAAGGGTTCTGAAGCCTGTCCTTAATTTTTTTGAATTCTTGTTTCTTCGTTCTGTTGTGGTTGAATGTTTCTTCCTTCTGGTCCAAATTATTGATTTGAATCTGCTTCCTTCCCTTCACTGTTGGTTCCCTGTATATTTTTCTTTATTTCACTTTGTGTAGCCTTCACTTTTCCCTCTATTTTGTGACTGTATTCAACCATTTCTGTGAGCATCCTGATTACCAATGTTTTTAACTCTGCATCTGATAGGTGGGCTGTCTTTTCATCACATAGTTCTGTTTTTTGGAGTTTTATCTATTCTTTCATTTGGGCTTTTTTTTTTTTTTTTGTCTCTGTGCCCCTGTTACATTGTACAGGGCAGGACCTCAGGTATTCACTAGAGTGAGACAACCCAACTGGCAGTGTTTGGTGCTGTATATGGGAAAGGGATTCTAGAGGGAACCGTTGGGAACTACTCTGCCTGGTTTCAGGACTTGTAACTGCCCCCCATGACTAAGGCTGAGTGAGCAACCTCCAGACTGTGAGTCACTGAGGAGACAAAGCTTATCTCTGGCAGTAGCGCTGCTTCTGCTTCATCCCCTGCCCCCAATGCTTGGTTTGTTAGTCAGAAATGGGTAAGATCCCTCAGAGGAGTGGCAACCTAAGCCAGACATGATCACTTGGGAGGCCCTCAAGGAAGGACTCGAGGGGCTGCAGCAAAGAGGGGGTGATGGACCCTCGCCCCCCCCCCAGCTATTTTGACATAGCCCGAGTCCCCATTTCTGTCTGGGAGAAGCACTTCCTGTCTCTAATCCACTTAAGCCTAAAAACCTATGACTGGGAAGATGGTGCATCCCCTTGCCACGAAGAGCAGGATCTTGGTTGATCAGGCGTAAGAAAGAATTCCTAAAGTCTTGTGAAGTCTGCTTTGCTAAGAGTACTTTCAGTCATATGTTAAGGGTCCAATCAGGAAGTAAGTATGTCTCCCAAAGTTTCTGCAACCCCCTTACCTGATAGACACTGACTCAGACTAAGCCCTCAGATTTCTTTGAAATGTTATCTACTGTTTGATTCTTGCTGCCTGACATCGATTGATGAGCTTTATCTGTATTCCTGTGTATTACAACCTAATAAAAGCTGTTGAAGAAGAGGTTCTTTGTCCTTCTGTGAGAGATTGACCACCTCTCCTCCCCAGGCAGATCATGTCTTGGTAGTTTCACTTTCATCCGTGGTGGACGGGGGGACTTACTGGCAAAGTTGCCCTCACAGGGAGCAATGCCACTTACTTGGCTCTGGGCTTCTTTTCAGTTACCACCCCCCCCAGGTACCCACAAGCAAATTGGGCCCTTCTGGTGCTGATTCCCAGGTGGGTGGGTTTGTGTACATTCTAGGACCCTTGGGTCTCTCCAAAAATCTTTTCTATGAAGCTGAGAGATTCTTCCACTGCCACAACCCTCACAGGTTCTTAGCCAGAGATTTTGAGGTTGTTTCTCCATGCTGAAACCCTGGGTTGCATGATCTTGTCTCACTCCTCAGTTGTTTCCCCTGGTTTATCCTTATGCAACTGTGGGACCACTTGGTCCTCAAGCCACGCCTTGCTGTGAGTCCTCTAACCCCAGTTACCCATCTCTGCCCCTCCTACCAGTCTGAATGAATGTTTCTTCTTTAACTCCTTGGTTATCAGTCTTCCATATAGTTTGACTTTCTGGCAGGACTGGTTATTTTTTTTTTGCTTTTAAGTTTATTGTCCTTTTGGTTGTATGAGGAGGCAAAGTTTATCTACCTGTGCCTCCATTTTGGCTAGAAGTCCCATGACTCTTTTGTAACTACCAATCTGTATTCCTTAATCTCTTCACCTTTTTCACCCAACCCCCTAACTCATCTGGCAACTGTCATAATGTTCTCCATGAGTCTTCTGGTCAAGATGGAGACATTGGTAGACATGCTTCACCCCATTGCACAACCATATTAAAAATGAAAAACACCCAGAACTGCTGGAAAACCACGCAGAAAAACATCCAGAACTGTACACACATCAAACAACCAAGAATTTAAATAAGGTATATTCATTCAGATGAGTAGGAAGGGTTGAGACAGTGAGTCAAGGTGGGGGTGATGCTGTGTGGTAGTAGCACATAGTGAAGGGGTGATGAGGCAGCAGTGGTCTTTGAAACTGGTAGTCCCACATTCACTAGTGGTAGGTAAAAATCAGGGCAATACCTTGTGAGTGAGCGAGCACAGCCCCAGGCCAGACTGCAGACACGGGGTCCAGCCCAGGGAAAAGTAAAGTCTCATAACTTTTGTCTGTAAAGGCATTGTGGATTGGGACAGTAGAAAAAACTAGTTTCTCAGGAGAGCCCAGAATGTGTACAAACCCACCCACCTTGGGAACCACAACCAGGACAGCAACTGGAAGGACACCAGTCACATTCAGGAAGTGGATGAAGTAACTGGAAAAGGAGCGAGTGCCAGACAAGACTTCAGAAGTCAGCTAGCAGCAGCATTGTCCCGTCTTCAACCCTTACCTCACACACACAGCCACAAAGTGGCGAGCGGATTGCCCTGCCCTGACAAATACCAAAGACTCTGTCCCATACAACCTAACATGTATACTAAGATAGGAAATAAAAGCAGCTCTACCTGGTACACAAACATGGGGTGGCTGCCAAAATCAGGAGACAAATAAATATGGCCCAAATGAAGAAACAGAACAGAATCCCAGAAAAAAAGTATTAAGCAATGTGGAGATAGCCAACCTATCAGATGTAGAGTTCAAAACACTGGTGATCAGAATGCTCACAGATCTCATTGAATATGGCAAAAGCATAATAATGGGAGGAGAAAGGCTATACTATGGGAAATAGAGAAAAATCCACAGGAAACCAAGAGTGAAGGGAAGGAAGCTGGGATTCAAATCAACGATGTGGAACGTAAGGAAGAAATAAAATGTTTGACTAGAACAAAATGAAGAAACAAGAATTTTTTTTTAAAGGAAGGTTTTCTTAAGAAGACTCTGGGACATCTCCAAAAGGGCCAACCTTCTAGTCATAAGAATGCCAGAAGGAGAAGAGGAAGAACAAGAAATTTAAAACTTACTTCAAGAAATAATGAAAGAAAACTTCCCTAATTTGGCAAAGGAAATAGACATACAAGTCCAGGAATCACAGAGAGTCCCAAACAAGTTGAACCCAAACAGGTCCACACCAAGACACATCATATTAAAATGTCAAAAATTAAAAATGAGAGAACCTTAAAAGCAGCAAGAGAAAGGTAGAGAGTTACCTACAAAGGAATTCCTATAAGACTATCAGCTGATTTCTCAAAACAGATTTTGCAGGCAAGAAGTATACAAAGTGATGAAAAGCATGGACCTACATCCAAGATTACTCTATCCAGTAAAAGCTATATTTAGAATGGAAGGACAGATAAAGTGCTACCCAGACAAGGTAAAGTTAAAGGAGTTCATCACTAAGCCCTTATTCCATGAAGTGTTAAAGGGACTTATTTAAGGGGAAAAATAGATCAAAACTATGAACATTAAAATGACGAATTCAGGGGGATGGGCTGGGATGGGAGTAAAAGACAAACTGTACTTGAACAACAATTAAATTTTAAAAAAGAATGTAGAAAATCAACATGAAACATAAGCAACTCAATTTGAAAAATTGGAGAAGAACCTGAATAGACAATTCTGCAAAGAAGGCATAATAGGTTAATAGACATATGAAAGGATTCTTAATGTCACTAATCATTAGAGAAATGCAAATTAAAAGCTGTTATATTAAAAGTCAAATAAAATAGAAAAACTTCATAGAAAAGGAGAAATGTATGATGAACAAAGAAAGGAAGCAGATAAAATAGGGAAAATAAGTATTGAAAGAAAAAGTCTTGACTTTGTCTTTCCAAAGTCTTGACTTTGGAAAATGAAAACACAATGTAGACCAATAATGTCTAATAAAATTATACACTTGAAACCTTTATTGATTTCTTTTTTTTTACCTTTATTGATTTCTTATGCCACATCACTTCTCTAAATTCAATGCACAATAAATAAATAAAAACCAAAAAATGACAACAAATTCACAACTATCAACAACTGAATCTAAAAAACAGACTAAGCAAATAACTAAAACAGGAATAGAACCTAAATATGGAGACCGTTTGGATGGTTATCAGCTGGGAGGGGGAAGGAGGAGATTGGGGGAAAAGGTATAGGAATTTAGAAGCATAACTGGGTAGGTACAAAATAGACAGGGAGGTGTTAAGAACAATATAGGTAATGGGGAAGCCAAAGCATGACCCATGGACATGAACTACGAGGATGATTGCTGGTGGGATGGTGGAGTACTGGGTGGAGTAGGGCAAAGGGACAACTGTAATAGCATAACCAATAAAGTATACTTAAAACATTTAAAAAATGAACAAAAAACGATGGCCCACTGGGGGAAGTATGTTTTCTGTATAAGTTTTTTCTGTTTTGTGTGTTCAGTTATTTTTTATTTTGTTTTTAGATTCCACATATGACATCTATGGCCTTTGTTTTTCTTTGTCTGGCTTATTTCACTAAGCATAATACTATTTCCATCCATAGTATTGGAAGATGACAAGATTTCATTCTTTTTTATGGCTGAGTCAGATTCCATTCTATATATGCACTACTTCTTACTTATTGATGGACATTGAAGTCACTTGGCTATTGTAAATAATGCTGCAAAGAACATATGGATACATATATTTTTTCATATTAGTCTGGATTTCTTGAGATAAGTACCACAGAATTTAAATTGCTGGATTGTTCTTTGTCTCTTGTAGCCTTTGTTTTAAAGTCTGCTTTGTCTGGTATAAGTATTGCTATATATTTGCTATATACTATTGCTATATACCAGCTTTTTAGTTGTCTCCATTTTCATGAAATGTCTTTTTACATCCCTTTCAGTATGTGTGTATCTTTCAGTCTGAAGTGAGTGCCTTGTAGACAGCATATGTAAAGTAAGGGTCTTGTTTTCTTATCCATTCAGTTACCCTAAGTCTTTGGACTGAATCATTTAATCCATTTACCTTTAATTGTCGGTAAGTAGTTTTTGCCATTTGATAATTTATATTTTTTATCTTAAAGAAGTCCCTTTAACATTTCCTGTAATACTGCCTTTGTGGCGATAAACTCCTTTAAGTTTTTTTTTTTTTTTTTTTGTCTGGAAAGCTCTTTATCTGTTCTTTGACTATAAATGATAAGTTTGCTGGGTAATGTTAGTTGTAGGTCCTCACTTTTGATTACTTTAAATATTTCATGCCAATCCCTTTTGGCTAAAATGTTTCTGTTGAGAAATCAGCTGACAGACTTTCTTGCTGCTTTTAAGATTTTCTCTGTCTTTAGACTTTGGCCTTTAAAGACATGTATTGGTATGGGCTTCATTGGATTCATCTTGTTCAGGACTCTGTGCTTTTTGGGCTTATGAGGGGAAATCCCAGAAGACAAAAAAGAATTGTCTTCTAAAAGTCAGCCCCCTTGTCATATAGGCTTCTCCCTTCAGGTGACTTCTAGGAACCCACTTATTTGTATCAGTGTTCCAGCTGCCATTGTTGTGAGAGGCTGCATTTGGCTTCAGAGAATTTTTTGAAGACTCCAAATGTGCTTGCCTGTTTCACGATGGGTAATTTATGAGCATATCTGCCTACAGCATGTTGAGTGTTCAACAGTTTTTGACCAAAAACAGCATGACCCCCATGTCCCATTCTTCTTATTCACCTGATTTCACCCTGAGTGACTTTTTTGTTGTTTCCCAGATTAAAAAAGTCCTCAGAGGAAAACATTTTGCCAATGTGGAATAGGTGAAACAAAAAATGGCAGAAGCACTAAGAGGAATTAAAATCAATGAGTTTAAATACCGTTTTGAGCAGTGGCAATAACATCTTGATAGGTATATTGCATCAAATGATGAGTGCTTTGAAGGTGACTGAAGTTTAAACATGTAAGAATAAATACACCCTCCTTTATAAATAAATTCTTTTGGGGGGTCCCCCTCATGTATTATACTATATAAAAATAATGTTTTAATATCTGTAACAGTATGATGAGGTTGGAATGTGAAGTAGAAACCACCATCCCCATCTTCAGATGGACTTGGCTTTTCTTGGTTCTTTTTTCCATTGGAATTTTAAGATCAGCACTTCAGGTTATATGAAAAATCTTATTTGGGTGTGAATTAGAATTAGATGATGGTTATATATTATTTTAGTGAGACTGTTTTTTATTTTAAATAGTCTATTAAAACAGTATATCTCCATTTATGTAGGTCCTTTAAATCCATCTGTGAAGTTTTATACTTTTAGCAATAGAAGTTCATGAACACTTTTTGTCAGATTTGCTCAAAGGTATCCATAGATTTTATTTGCTATTGTGATTAATATCTTTCTAAAAAATACATTTCCAAATGGTTTGTTTCTGTGTTTCTCAGTTGGTGATTGAATCCTCTATAACATCTATTAGTTTTACCTGTAGATTCTCTTGTTTTTATCCTTTTTAAAAAATTCTTATTCCTTGTTTTAAAGGTAATAATTTCAAAGTTTCACTATTATGTATGATGTTTCCTTGACGTTCTGATAGCTGGCCTTATTCACACTAAGGAAATTTCCTTCTCTGATTTTACCAAGAATCATTATTACAAGTGGATATTGAATGTTATCAAATGCTCTTTCTATATTTATTGAAAGGACTGTGGCTTTATTTCTTTCTTAAAGGTTTTATTTATTTATTTTAAGAGAAGGGGAGGGAGGGAGAAAGAGCAATGTGAGAAACATCAACTGGTTCCCCTCATACATGCTTCATTCCAGGGACTGAACCTGCAACTCAGTCATGTGCCCCAACAAGTAATTGAACCAGGAACCTTTCACTTTGTGAGACTGTGCTCAAGCAGTTGAGCCACACTGAACAGCGTTCTTCTTTAGTCTTTTAATGTGATGGAGCATACTGTTTTGTCGTCTAAGGTAAAGCTATCACTGTTCCTGTTTTAAATCCTACTCTGTCACTTTTTAAAATTTACTGTTCAATTCCATGTAGCACTGTTTGTTGTAGGGTCATTGTATCTGTGCCCATAGGTGAATCTGGCATATAGTTTCCCTTTCATGTACTTTTCTTGTTTAGAACGTATGTTGCACTGGGAGAGTTATCCTACTTTTCAACTTTCTGAAGAAATTTGCATAAGATTATTTGTTCCTTGAAGTTTTGGGAAAAGGCACCTGTTTTACTGTGTATATTTATATTTGTGGGAAGAGTTTTAACTACTGGTTCTACTTAAACAATAGATATAATCTATTCTACATTTCTATTTCTTATGCTACTTTTATTAAGTTCTATTTGTATAGATAACATTTAATGTATCCATATTTTCAAATTTATTGGCATAAAGTTACCTTACTCTTAAATGATTATTTAAATTTTGACTGATCTGTAATTGTTTCTTTATATTTCTAAGGTTGTTTTTGTGCCTTCATCTTCATATCATGCTGGACATTTGTCTCTTTTGTCTAGAAAACATTTGTCTTTGAAAAGAACCTTTTCAAAGAAAGCATTTAGATTTTGTCATTCTCTCTATTATTTCCTTGATTACTATATTATTAAGTTTTTAATGGACCTCAGGTGCCCAGAATTGTGTGTGAGAATTCTTGGCTCAGGATGCCCATCATTATCCTGTTGTGACCTATTTTAGTGTGTTTGTGTATGTAAGAATAAGCATGTGGGAGCCCACTGCTCCACATAACAGAGAGGACACTTCCAATGGCTCTCATCTCCTTATTTATTCTGCCTTTCCCCCCAGTTCTGGCTCCCCCAACTGAGTAACCACTATTCTGGTTTCTGTGCTTTTTGTTCTCTCATTTCTGTGTTTTTGTGTGTGTTTCTAAAAGTACATTACTTATTTTGAGTTCTTAATAAAAAGGACATTTTGCAGTACATTATATTCTGGGACTTGTTTTTAAAGCTATTATTATACTGGTGTGTTTCTTCTGTACAATGTAGCTGTATTTTAATTTTTTCTATGGTACAGTATGCCATTTTGTGAATATTCCACAATTTATCTATTTTGCTACTGAAAGAGTCAACTGAAGGTCACTGCTGCCGATTCAGTGCCAACAGGAATCCCAGTTTGGTGAAGGAGGAGATGACTTTATTCAGTGTGAACAGCTCAATTCTAAAACAGCTCAGTTGTTGAACAACATGGCTATGAGGCAGCCCTGGTGTTACAGTGTTGCTCCGCTCTGGCAGTCTGGCAAGACAGCTTCAGCTTTGATGTTGCCACTGCAGCTCTGATGTTGCCAACACAGTCTTCAATGCACACTGAAACTGCTCCATGGAGATAGAGGTGAAGCTGACTTACAGAGGATTTTCCATCCATGGTCCTTGATTGGTCAGTTCCTATGCACTGAGGACTCCAAGTCAGCAGTTTGAGCAGTCCAAAAAGGCACTGTCCTGATTAGTTGGAATGCAGTTAGTTATTCTAGTTGGTTGGTGAAGATGCAAATGAGGATATAGTGGTGTAGTCCCAATGGCTGGGGCAGGTCTTCAGCCCATTGGTTGATTTACAATCTTTTATAAAGGCTGACTCAGGTGGCAAGAGCACAGTGCTGAAAGCTTGGCAGCCCAGCCTGTGATTTTCCCTGAAATGCAGCTTGGGTGAGGGACCTCTATAAACAATGAGTGCTAGAGTCTAGTTATGAATTTGAGTCCAATTAACTATGAGAAGCCCTTTTTGAGTCTTTTTGTAGACCCCTTCTTGGGGTCAACAACAGATATTCAGTTTTTATATTATAAACACTGTAGCTATCAACATTCTGATATATATGAGCAAGACTCTTTCAGACAATTTTACTGGACAT